CAGAGCACTTCTATCCACAGCTCTCCACAATGTCACGGCTGCTGCCATGGAGTTATTCACTCATTTCATTTCCTTTATAGACATGGGAGGGCTGATATTTTTTCTCCCAGCTCAAAATATTGCACTTTTGACATGGGAACGCCTAGCTTCTTTGTTTGACATCTGGTGTGCATCAAAGCACCTTATTTGACGTGGAAGACGTCGAGGAGGGTGCAGCGAGGGCGGCAGCGAGCGGGGCCGCGGGCAGCGCTCACCTGCGTGCTTGTTGCGCCGGTGGCTGATGCGGGGAGCGGAGGAGCCATTTCCTCGCGGCAGGAAGAGCGCGGCGCCTTTCACAGTGAGGAAGCTTTCGCTGATGCTGCAAGGGAAGAGACAAACAGTGAACGAGGAGCTTCCCGGAGCTGCTTTTAAAGGGAAGAAAAAAAAAAAAAAAGGCAAGAGAACAAAAAAGTTCCACTCTTTCAATGAACCATCTCTTATTCTGCAAAGAAGATATTTAGACCCAAAGCATTTTGTTGCCAATGGGCCTTTTTCTTCTTCCCTCTCAAAGGTGTATTGCAAACATACAAAACATAACCGAGGACAAGAACAGAGGTAGTCTGAAAAGCAGAACGTGTCTGGTATCGTTCTGCCTGCAAAGATGGGGCCTGAGGGATTAACCTACGGCCGTATTTTTGATTTGAAAGTCAAGGTGGGAGATCCACATTTCTGGATGGTGATTAATACAATCGGCCCACGCACCCCTGTCGTGATGGCTCCTGCTAACCCTGTGCCTTGTGGTTCAGATCCAGCTGATACCTCGTAGAAACAAACGTCTCCCTTCAGTAGTTAGGGCAAACGGAGTCAGTGGGCATGACAGAGTACGAGACCACGGAACTACCGTTTATGAATCATATGATAAATAACCCACAACAACTTTGATAAATCACACCTGTAACACTGCCAACTTCAGACATCACTTACTGCATTGACTTTGCCCTTTATTCGAGTCAGATGAGGAGGCAAGTTGGTGGAAAGGGGCCACAAAGAGTTTGCAAGATCTGAAGAACAGCTGATGTTTTAACATGCCTTCAGAAGCTTTCCTAAAGCGGCCGTGGCTCACGGAAGAAGGGGGATTCTGTCTACACATTGCAATAATGTGATGCTGTTGCACAGCTCAGGGTTCCTGCTTTTCTCAGGTCAGATGAGGTAGCCAAGTAATTCCACAGTGACAGGATGGTGACTGGAAGTGGTGGGAGAGGATGGGAGAGTCACTGGCAGCACCTCACCTGACTCGGTGAAGATGCTGGTCTGCACTCTTGAGCAAACAAGGACCAGGAAGCTCTTAGCTCCTTGCTCTACTTAAGGCTGATTAATCCCTTCCTTGAGGGCAAAGGAAATTATAATAGAGAGAAAAAAATCCACTCCATATATTTGAACAAACGCTGAGTTACAAAAGGCAGGTAGGACCAGCACACACCACGTCACCCCCTGCACAGCCACCCGCTGCTCCAGGACCCCGTCCCGGTACCCGCTCCGGGCAGGCAGGTACTTCAGCACGTTACAGAGCACCCCAATGTCACCCCGGACCGGGATTCGGCACGGCCGGAGCGCGTGGCCTTCCCATCTCCTGATCTGAGGTTGACTGCTCTGCAATAGGTTTTGCCTATTAAGTTCTTATATCTGTGTGAATTACAAAAGTGTGTGTTAAATCTGGCTTCCCCCCTAACCTCAAGCACATTCCTGGGCACCCCTCCATTCTCCTAGGGGGCATAGGAAAAAAAAATATCTTAATTCCAAATTCTCTGAGCTCCAGAAAAGCAAACGCACACTGATAAAGATGGGTTTTTTTTTTCCCCTTTTAGGCCTGTAGCACATCCCAGTGTTTAGATTGCACTGTCATAACCTCAGCACTCCTCCTCAGCGACAAAGCGTCTCCCAGGACTATTATTTTCCAAAATTACTGCAGATGTCAAACTTCCAGTGGATGCTTTAACAAAACCATAAAAAAAATCCCTCTTCCTAAATTAAAATGGATCAGAGACTTTTATGTATGCTAAAAACAAACCCCAAACAAACACACAAGAAAGCCACTGGGCACACCGAGCACAGATGTTTCCCCACAGGAAACTCAGACCATTCTCATGCCAAAATTTTTGGTCGAGCCTCTCTAGATCTTGGCCCTAAATGCACCCTTTGCAAGCCCTCGAGCTCCACAGTTCCTGGGAGCTTGGATGCTACAGCAACACGGAGCGCTCTCGAAGGCGTGGGGTAAGAGAGGGCTCTGCATTGCAGAAAATCATGAAAATCAAGGCAAAGGAGTCGGAAGGCACCCCCTCCTATTCCTTTTTCCTCTACAAATCCACCACAAACAAATTTCGAGCTCACTGGAGGAAAAACAACGCGTAGTCACAGCCAACTTTTATGTAGTTAATTCCACCAACAAAGGCAACTAGTGATGCTGACAACCCTTCAGCCTGTGCCCGAGGCTTCCCCGGAAGGCTGAATTAGCAACTTATTTTCAGTAAATAAAGCAGCATGTGGCTAGAGGGCTGGGAGGTTAAAAGTCTTCCCACTGCCATCACTTTCTCCTATCATCAGCTCTCTGCTGCTGGCCACCTGCCTGAAATGGGGACCTGCCGCAGCATTAGAGAGATTCCTATCGGGTCCATCCTCCCTATGAGTCACCTTCACCAAGGCTACCAAGCACCTTGTTTGGGGACATTAATGACAAGCAACTAAGTCAGCTAAGTTCCAGCTAAGGCTGGAACTGAAAGACAATGTGATTTCCAACATGAAGGGTCCTGACAACACGTGGCAAAACGGAGGGTTCTTGTGGAGCAGGGAGGTCGAGCAGGCAGGACCAGAGCCCCTGTGAGGCAGGAACGAGTGTGGAGATGGTCACCAGCATGGAGAGGAAAAGAGTCCATAGGCAAGACAGGAGCACAACAGCAAATCCGGGTCCAGATCTGCACGCCTGGACACGGCGCTCCAGAGAGGAGACAGAGGCATGAATTGCTCCTTGCTGGCATTGAGCATCTCCTCCATACCTGCATTCTGCAGGCAAGTCCCTGTATTGCTGATGCCAGATAGGAGTAAAGCCCTGAAACTGGAGTATTTTTATCTGCTGCATTCCTGTGCTGGGTTAAGAACGGGCAGGTCTTCACTTGTAAGACATGCTGCTACTTCCCTTGCTTTTTCACCCTAAGGCTCTTCCAGCTTCTCTGGCACTTGCCCATTGCCCATCACAGTTCTGGGACGTTCAGCGTGTAGACGAGGGCAAGGCCAATGTCCCCACATCACCTGTGGGGAACTCAGGGCCAGCTGCAAAACCAGGGCAGCTCCCTGCTAACACACCAGCCAAGCCCTCGCCTGGAGACGTCCGTGAAGAAAAACTTAGGAAATTTCCTAAGACGCTTATGGGAAAGTCCAAACAGCTGCTATAATCAATACCACTGCTGCTGAAAGTCTTCCAGATGTTGGTTTTGGTGTCCCTGTCCCACCGTATGAAAAAAAATGAATTCATTGGTCTGACACCCCCTCTTGGTTGCTCCAGTTGGATCCATCCTGCCTGGATAGCTCTAGCCGTGTTCCCTCCCAAAAGCATAATATGCCAGGCTCAGGTTACCTTTGGATGCTACATCTGAGAATGAGATAAGGGGAAGGAGATATAGGAGGTCCCAATAAGAAGAAAAGAGATGATTCCCCTCGCAGGACAATAAACCAAAGCTCAGCACCGCAGCTGACAAAACATGAAGGACAAACCCAGGTCTGCATCTATACCTGGGGTCACTGGAGAGCCTCATGGGAAGCTCCTACAGCCAGATCTGACACAAAACCGTTTTTAAGACACAAAAAGAGAAAAATGCACTGGTTTAGGGCCGAGAGGATCAGTAAAGCGAATCATCTGCAACTTGACTGCTGCCAATGCGACATCTTGCCCGTCTCACTCCATGGGGGCTAGCTGTAATTCCAGAGCTGAAGGAAACCACCGGCCAAGAGCGGATGGGCCTGCACCACCCATGGGCTTTCTGCCCCATGGAAGGGGACTCGCCAGGCCCTGAGATGCTGTTTCATTAAGAAAGGAGAGAAAAGAGCCCACTGTGGATTGCTGGGCCGAGGCGGCGCTCGCTGCCTGCGATGGTGGCATTACACATCAAGCCTGGAGCAAAGGGGCCTTTTCCCAAAGGGCACCACGTGGGGGACACTGGGAGCTGGGACCAGCTCCGGGGACCTGGGGCCACCTGCCTGGCAGGACTGCTTAAGGTTGGAAGGGACCTCTAGAGATCATCTAGTCCAACCCCCCTGCACACGCAGGGTCACCTGGAGCACGTGGCACAGGACTGCGTCCAAGCGGGTTTGGAAGATCTCCAGAGAAGGAGACTCCACAACCTCTCTGGGCAGCCTGTTCCAGTGCTCTGTCACCCTCACTGTAAAGATATTTTTCCTTAAGTTCCTGTGGAACTTCTGATGCTTCAGTTTCTGGCTGTTTCCTCTAGTCCTATCAGTGGCCACCACTGAAAAGAGGCCAGCATCATCCTACATGTCCCTTCCCCAGCAGCTGCACCGAAAACAAACGCAGAAAAGCAGAAACGCTGCCCGAAATCGGGCTGGGATGACAGTGAGAAGTGGCACAAGTCCTCGCTGGTGCTGCCCAAGCGGCCGCGCGCAGCAGCCCCGGCGCCGCAGGGGGAAGCGAGCGCAGGGTGCCGGCCCGCGGCCACGCGCGCCCGGCCAGGGCGAGCGGCACACGGGGCCCGTGAGGAACCGAGAGTCTGGGCGCCCCGGTTCCTTCCCAGGGTTTGAGGTCAGGTTTACGCTGCCTTCGGAGCCCTCCCTACGCTGCCTCCGGAGCCCTCCCTACGCTCCCATGCTGGAAGCCGGAGCACGCCGCAGGGAGGAGAGCACGAAGAGCGCTTCTAATGCGATTAACATCTCCTCCGCATTTCACATCTCAGCTATGGCTCTGTTACATCAAGCTCCTTTAATCCGTGGGTTGAAAACACAGAACTAAGGCGGAGACCAAAAACCAGAGGTTGGCATCAGTGGTCGGCTCTTCCGGAGGTCCCGGAGCCGGGAGCGGGTGCCAGGACCCACCATGGCAGAGCAGCAATTGCAGCTTCAGCTCCACGTGGCAGGAACCGAGAAGGTTCCCGATCTCCAGCCCCAGGAGCCTCGTATTTCCTCAGCACCTCAAGCTGTTTCCCTGCCCATTCCTCCCTCCTGCTCCGATGGCAGCACTGGGATCAATCCACCCCTCACACCGGGACCTCAGCAGAGCTGGCTCTCCTGCACACACTCTTCCCAGGCCAGGATTTTAAGGAGAACTCTCCATTCCCATGCTCTGCTCCCTTCAAGCCCTAAGGAACGAGGGTCTCA